AGTGAGGTTTATATCTTTACTAGGTATGTGTGTTTTTAAAGGGATGCCAAATGCTGTCATTTTTTCTGTAAAGCAAATTTACCTTGCCTATGGGTATAAATAAAGTTACCTTGACCTTGACCTTGACATGTGAGCAGCACTTTTCTGTTGTAGTTGGTTGAGGCGGAAGTAGTTTTAATTTACGGCCCTCGGTAAATCTCAGTGGCCAGTTTTGAGATGGTAGGGAAAAATAGAATTTATGTAAATAAATATTACAAATAAAAATATTGCAAAGCTTAATGATTGTTTTTATTTCAATTAAACAATCTTAAAAGGGGTAGAGTGGTTAAATAACTATAACAAACTAACTTGGACAAGTAACTAATTATATATCACTATAGTAATTTTATGACTTGGTTGAGCATTAAAGGTTCAAACTGTAACAACATATCTTTATCAGATTTAATCAGTGATCAGTATGATAACTTTCACCCTGTGAGACACGACTCCTCTGACTTTATGAGCATATACAGTGCAGTACAGTGTTGTGTAGTAAATCCCAAAATAAGACAAACCCTGATATTCATTGACTGGAACTACAAGGTATTGAATTCCCAACATGAAACAAAAGGATCCAATAAATGTTGACACTATAAATAAACAGCTCCGATATTTTTACTTCGCGCTGCGTATGTTTAACATGGCAGATATCTACATCCTTTACTTCCTGTGCTAACAAATATTTTTTACAATTTACGTTCACGCGTCCATACAAATTGACAAATGTTAGCTTGGATTAAGTGTTAACTGTCAGACAAATTTAACACCTTTTAAAGGAGAGCGACGAGAAGAAAGAAGTCATTACATTTCTGTGACACTGTGAATCAGCGTAAATAAGTGAATGAACAGAGAAGAGAAAACCTCTTGACAAAAAGAGAGAAAGACCAATAATCTCCGCCTTGAGGTTTTTCTATTTATAGAGGCAGAACGTCTCTTCATATTAAGGTCAATGGCAGCTATTTGCTGCCCTCTACTGTAGAAATACAGACTGGCTTTTTTCAGGTGTACTTACTGTAGCATATTTGTTTTTGTTTTGTTTTTTTAACTGCAGAATTCTCTATACGAATTTTGTTATTTGGTACACTGTGCACATAATATATGGCCCAGATTTTAACTGCATAGCCCAGAACATAATAACATTTTTTTTTGCATAAACTCTGGGTCACACATTCACATTTGCCGTATGCACTGGTCTCTTTGGCCTCAAATGGAGTGTAAAAAGAATAAGAAAATAGCAAGATGAGCCAAAGCATCCTGAGACAAACACTTTAGAATAGATTTATTATTATAATTAAGCCCTTAAAAGTAAAGCAATACTTGAGAGTCTCAGCTTTCAGAATGGGAAGCATGGTGGTGTGCTGTCCCATTCCCTATGACAGCTGGGACAGGCTCCCTGCAATACAGAACTGGATAAGTGGAAAGTTTTCAAGCTTCAGGAAAAGTTATTATAGTTAACTAAAACTAAACACTAAAACTAAAAAAAGATTTTAGTTAACTAAAAGAAAAACTAGACCTAGAAACTAGAAAACTAACTGCAATAAAAAATGTAGAGGAATTACCCTCACTGTAGTTTTAGTCTTATAAAAAATACTGTTTTTATTGTAACACTTGCACTGATTTTCCTGAACCTCTGCCTCTTGCCTGACATTTGTCCTCCTTACAATAATTAAAAAGCCATTTACTGCGTCTGTCGTCTTAAACGAGCCGATACGGCTTTGTTTTTGCTTTAAGGTAACTGACCTTTTAAAATAATGCTAATTTTCATATAGTTTTGTTCATCTTAAGTTCCTCTTATTTTTTGTAGCATAACAACACAGAAGGCCTTTATGCAAATTTATGCTAAAACACATACAGGTAATTGTGATAAATGCCACCACTGGGGGGGCACTTCTGCATGAACATCGGGTAGTAGTCATCATTAAAAAGAAGCATGTGATCAACATATTGGGTTTTACTGATGTAGTACTAGGATATGAGCAACAAAGAACAAGTCGTTCAACAATTTCTATCAAAAAAATACAAATGTTTGGAACATTTACCTCCCAGGTATAACTTAAATCATGATTTCAGCTCATGTTTAAAGAAGACTTCAAAATCTATTCAGCATAAATGGGTGGGATGCCATTGCATATCTGCTTAACACCAAATAAAAAGCTCATTTTGCCCCTAAAACGAGGATTTATATTGTTATGACTTAAATCATTTGATTGCTTTCATATAATGTACTAATTTACTGCCTCGTAATACCTCACTGTTACTTTCGCTTACTGAATGTTTAAACAGCCCCCGGTGTTGTTTAACAGGGTGAGCACTGTACAGCGTCAGTATCAGCTTGCAACGGGGGAAATGAAGACCATAGATTTAATTTTTGATTTGATGCATAGGTTTACTATCAGGTAGAGTTGACAGAGAGTACAAAGAAGTACTGTTTCAAGCTGCAGAGTTTAGGACAATCATTCAGATTGAATAACCTGATGCACTGCACTAAAAATAACAGCTGCTGTTACTGCATAGCATTCAGGAGGTGCATTGCAAGAGTTACTACTCTCAGGCATTTTCTGCAAACCCTTGTACCTGCAAAGACAAAGTACAGAATATAGCACAAAATATCACATCTATGCACAATTCTGAAAGTGTTTCCTACTTTTATTAAGTACAATTTTCATTCTTCCTTTTGTGCAAACTCTATTGTACTGTAAGGACTAACTAGTCATAATGTTAAGCAACCTAAAAGTCTGAACTAAACTCCTGCAAACGTCATGGAGGAGGCATGTCAGTACATTGTAGTCACTGAAAAGGTGTCCTAAATACAGCCTTTCTCTTTTTGATGAGCAGTAATCCATCTGATGCTTACATCTGTGTTTGGAGTCAACACTCAACCTTCTTGAGAGTCCTGGATGTGCAAACAAAAGTTAAGCACAGCCACAACAAGACAGGAGAGGCTGACTCACACCATGTTGTGCCTGTTGTACATACTGAAAAGCACACAAAAAATGATGAGCGCAATGCTTCGTATTACCAATTCCTTCACAGACCCGACACATTTTCTGCATTTTAATTAAACGCCAGAAAACGAGGACACGGCGGCACAAATACGCAGAACAACAATGAAGGATTTTGAGATGATGCTTGAAAAACATTGTATTTAGAGTCAAGCGCTCGTACAGAAAATGGCTTTGCAATGTCCTTCAAAAACAAAGCAAGTACACTTTTTTTAAAAAAAGAAAATCAAACCAGGAGCTACAAGCGCAATTTTTCACATTTAATCAACATTCAGTTTATCCGATGTTCTCAAACAGTCTGATTAAAAAAAAAAAAAAAGTAAATGCATTGTCATCTTGTGCTGTAGCAAGTCTTACAATAAAGCCCTTTAGAGTAAGAATACATCTGAAAACATGATGAAGGCTCGGGCACATCAACTATTATGTACACATACGTGAACTCTTTGGTTCTATGATCCATGTTTGATTCATTTATTACTTTTTTCCAATTTAACACACTTAATAAAATGAATGTTTTCATGTTTCGCAGTGACAGCGTGAACCACAAATCTAAAGAAAATATGAATCTGCTACATTTACTACCGCTGCCACTCTAAGTCATTTTAAATATTAGATCTATAATTGCTCTTGCTTCTATTACTGCTAAAGGGCACAATAGTGGTTTAACTATTAATCTATACATTTTTATTTTTTCAATTCATAACAGATTTGAACGGATCCTCGTATCCCAGCACAGAATAGACATTCCCCTCTGATTGAACATCTGGTATCGTAAAATTGAGTTCAAAAGAAGAAATGTAAAACATAATTTTACCTCGAATGAGAATTAAGATGAACTATTATACAGTTTAGTCACCTTTAAACGAAATCCGTGTTTGAGCTCATGTTTCATTCCCTCTCTGCCTGTCCACAACTAATCAGTACCATTTATCAGTTTCAGAGGTCAAATATGAAATGATTCTTCAAACCATAGTCTGTATTCATTTTCCAGTTCTGGCCATCTGCGGTTTTTGCTCCAGGAAAAATTAAACCTGCGATGGTCAGGCAATAATTTTGACAAACATATATGAATGTCAAGAGGTCAAGACAACTGTTTGTGTAACTTAATCAAAGCACTGTTGTGCACGTGATACACAGCCCACAGTCACTCAAAGACCCTGAATGTTTACGATGAGGCCTACTTTGGTCTTTCACTGACAAATGCAATGAAAACGAAGAAACATGGCGGATTTGAAAAGATGCACTTTCACTGTATTTCTCCGAAAACAGCAACCAGCGTTTTTACTGTAATGCAATGACCTCTTTCAGCACATAGGACTAGTAGAAGTGGAGATTTCAATCAGATGACGAGGAAGTACTTGATATTCTTGAAAGATCTGGATCGTACCTACTTTAAAAATCTTATGCAGCTATTTTCTTTAGTGTCTCCCTTTTCTATCCTTTTTCTTTCAGTCCACAAACTGTTCTCATTAGCCTCGTTTCCAGCACCAGCTAATTTCAGAAAACAATCTGGCAAATTCATCGCAGCCTCCTTGCCCAGCACCAAACGGGAGACAGAGTAAGCTAAAAAACATGATAAAAAAGTGTCATCTAAAGCAGTTCATGAGACAGGTAGTTACAGAAGAGCAACACAAAGAAAAATCAAGAGTGAAAACTAGACTTCAAGTAGCCAGAAGCATCCTCCATTAAAAACTACCTAAGGTGATATTGAATGTAAGCCCTAGGCCACTGTTTGACTACTGCTTGGCTATTTTTTCCACCTAGAAAAATAAATCCCCGAATTCAGGATCAAAACTAGGCTTAAACGTAAACGAATACCGGCTCTCTGAGGAGAATTTTGAAATACATTCCAGAGGGTGATTTGGACATTTCTATCCCATATTAACAAGTTTACTTCGACCTAATCAAAATCTTACACTGGAGAATAAAGTACAGCCATAAAAAAGTCAGTAAAATTGATGTTATGGAACCTGCTAACAATCCTCACCTGCAACTCCACCCACTGTAATGCAAGATGCTAAATTCATTTTTCAAACCTTTGAAAAGTCATTTTTATACCAAATATCTGGCCTAGATCCAGATCAGGATGCTTTATGAAGAAAGCATTAAAGAAAAATGGCAGCTACAGCTGGCAGACAAAGTGATTAATCCCGCTTTGCAAGGGTTTATTTTTCTATCTTTGTCCTGAGTGCTTTATTGTTGCATTGTTTTCATCATTCTGGAGGATTTTTAATTCTTAGGTAAATGAAAGCATCAGTGCTACAGTGCATCGGACTGCACAAAGCGTACCTAATAAACATAGATGCAATCAGTATGCAATCTGCTGACTGGTTTGAGCTGCAGACACAGCTGACTCTTGCTCAACATACCAGATCCTGAGTACTTTTACAGAGCAGGAACAAACATGTGTGAACATATTTTGCCCATCTCCAGAGCCAGACTGCAGGACCTTTGGATAAGTCAGATCAGTCGAGTGCTTTTGCACACAGGAGGTTTGCAGCGCACAAACCAGGACAAGAGGTGTCCAAATAAGGAAATGGTCAGATAAAAATAAAGGCTGCTTAACTTCCCAATCTTGGCCCTGAGCAGAACAGCGAGGGCTAAATATAAAATCTCGTGGTTTCTTGTGTCTCGCCTCCGCTGCACTTCACAGGTCCCCTACCATTTCATTAAACTATTGTTGCTCTCCTCCAAGCTCGGAAACCTCAAGGAAGACGAAGCTACACGCGAGAGTGAAGCTGAATAAATACAGCAGCGTATCATTACATACAAAATAACTTTGATTACTGCCTCAGTGTGCCAGTAGTGTAAAATGGCACACCACATTTGTACAACTACATTGTCCCGTTCCCCCGGCACGTGTCACATTTGAGAACGTCTACAGAAATGTACACAATACTTTGAGAAATCCTTTTAAAATGTCTCTGGAAAAATCACGAGGCTCAAAGAAGATTTTCCACAAATAATCACAACCGAACACTTTCCTTTTGTGCTCTCTAGTGTTTTGTCTCTCCGTCCTGGGGTTTGGTACCATGGCAGTATGCTCAATAGGCTTTATTTAGAGTGCTGCTCTGCAGAGTGAGGCGCCAAACGACCACAGATCCCAATGGTTCTGCAGCCAAATCAGAAGCTTGATACTCTGTGTGCTCTCAGCAGTCCACAGGGACGCAGGAAGGAGGTGTCCTCTTCTGCCGTGTCAGTACTTATTAATCCCAAAGATCCTCACACCGTGCAGCTGGGGCAGCTTGGGAATGAGTACCGTGAGCAAGGAGACAGTGTTGACAACAAAATGGGCCCGATCGTATTTGGTGTAGAAGCTGGTTAATATATACCTGAATCAAGAATAGGCACAAAAAAGGAGAAGATTACAATGAGCAAAGGGCATAAAGCTTATGTCTAGATTTCTCTCTGCTGGTGTGAAAGCAAGGCAGTCTGTTAAAAGCCTGAAGAAAACCACAATGTCTTTATAAAATGTCACTTTATGTATAAAAAAAACATTTCACTTAGTTTTATTCTGCCAATCACACCCAGATGTTTCCTAACTAACAAAAGCTGTGCCAGGAGTTGTTCTGTGAGACCATTTTAACGTGCCAAACAACAGAATTACAACACTGGTAATGAGCAAATGAGTTGATATGAGAATCTGTAAGCCTAAATCTACACTAGGCTTCCAAGCACCAACAAGCTAAAAAGTCTAATCTAAGTCCATCTAATTTAATCCCATGTTAGGCTAACTGATGATTCCAATTTTGACGAGGATGAGAAGTAGATAAAAGTGGTTTATGAATATGAGATGATTTATCTGAAGTTCGGGAGCAGGACCACATAAACGTTCCCTTTTGAGGCTTATCTACAGATACCCACTTGCTCTCCCTCCCCTCTTCCTCTGTCTGTCATCCTCTCTCAGAGGTTTCAGGGGACTTAACTGGCTCAGGAGCCACTGCCCATCCTCAAAAGGCCTCAAGAGGCCTTCCACACACTGCAGTCTCTGGTCAAGCTCTCTGTCTCGTTATCAATAAACGTTTTTTTCATTTGCATTTGGGGTGGTTAGAATGGTCTAAAGATCTAAGGCTAGATTTCATGTATAACACAATATATTTGTTCATAAATAGTAAATATTCTATTACCTATTCTATCACATTCAGTGATGACACCTAATCAACATATCTATAAATCTTCCGTTTATCACAGAAATTTTTCAATTTGCAACAATCTGAAAAATTATTTGTATAATCCGGTCGTTAAGTCTGACGTCACTAGCC